CCTGTTAACCCCAGTACTTTGCGAGCCCAAGGCAGGAAGAAGACTTGAGCCCATGGCAAGGAAGAGAGACTCCATCTCTACAAAAAATTTTAAAAACTAGCCAGGCGGCCGGGCGCGGTGGCTCAAGCCTGTAATCCCAGCACTTTGGGAGGCCGAGACGGGCGGATCACAAGGTCAGGAGATCGAGACCATCCTGGTTAACCCAGTGAAACACCGTCTCTACTAAAAATACAAAAAATTAGCCGGGTGCAGTGGCGGGCGCCTGTAGTCCCAGCTACTCGGGAGGCTGAGGCAGGAGAATGGTGTAAACCCGGGAGGCGGAGCTTGCAGTGAGCTGAGATCCGGCCACTGCACTCCAGCGAGACTCCGTCTCAAAAAAAAAAAAAAAAAAAAAAAACTAGCCAGGCATGGTGGCATGTGCCAGTAATCCCAGCTTCTTGGGAGGCTGAGGCAGGAGGATCGCTTGAACCTGGGAGTCCAAGGCTGCAGTGAGTTGTGATCACGCCACTGCACTCCAGCCTGGGTGACGGTGCAAGATCCCATCTCCAAAAAACAAACAAAAAGAAAGAAAAAAAAAAACAAAGCTGGAGGCATCATTATCTGATTTTAACATATATTACAAGGCTGGCTGGGTGTGATGGCTCACACCTGCAATCCTAGCACTTTGGGAGGCTGAGATGGGCAGGTTGCTTGAGCCCAGGAGTTCAAGACCAGCAGGGCAACATGGTGAGATCCTGTCTACAAAAAATACAAAAAAAATTAGCTGGGTGTGGTGGTGCACACCTGTAGTCCCAGCTACTCGGGAGGCTGAGGCAGAAGGATCTTCTAATAGATTTTTCTGTCTTTAATACATCCTTTAAAATACCTGGTAAGTCAGGTGTGGTTAGTCCCAGCTATTGCAGAGGCTGAAGTGGGAGGATCCCTTGAGCCCAGGAGACGAAGGTTGCAGTGAGCTGAGATGGCACCACTGCATTCCAGGCTGGGTGACAGAATGAGACTGTGTCTAAAAATATTTTTTTAAATTATCAGATGAAAACATGTCATGGCAAAAATAAAATTTAAAAATTAAAATTAAAAGAAAGCTTTGAAAAAAAATTTAAAAATAAAAAATTGGCCAGGTGTGGTGGCTCACGCCTGTAACCCCAACACTTTGGGAGGCCAAGGCGGGTGGATCACCTGAGGTCAGGAGTTCGAGACCAGCCTGGCCAACATGGGGACACTCCGTCTCTACTAAAAATACAAAAATCAGCCGGGTATGGTGGCAGGCGCCTATAATCCCAGCTACTCAGGAGGGTGAGGCAGGAGAATCGCTTGAACCTGGGAGGCGGAGGTTGCAGTGAGACGAGGTCATACCATCGCATTCTAACCTGGGAGACAAGAGCAAAACTCCATCTCAAAATAATAATAATAATAATAATAAAATAAAAACAAAAAATACAAAATAAAAGAAAGGTTTGTATTTCTCAAAACTCAAAAACTCATAAGACAATATGTAAGAGCCGTTCATTTTGCTGCATATTAATTATACCTCAATGAAAAATACTAAAAGGCAAAAAAAAAACTATATTAAAGGCAAAAGTAAAAATAATTCATAATTCTACCACCTTAATATTTGAGCCATTTTACCAGATTGCATGTAACTTGTTTCTGCTGTTTAGTGATGTTTTGTAAGAATGAAGTACTGTAAGTATGTAGCAATAAGCAACAATGGCATTTTGACTCTAGATATCACTATCATTTTCAGAGAGTTTGCAATGTATAAAAATGTGCTGAATTCTTAAGGTTTTAAATTCCAATTTTAGGTCTAACAGATTTTTTTTCTAAGAGTCTCACTTTGTTACCTAGGCCAGAGTCCAGTGGTGCAATCATAATGCACTGCAACTTCCCAGTCAGTCTCCCTAGTAGCTGGGACTACAGGTGCATGCATGCCATCACGATGCCTGACTGTGCAGATATTTTATAGTATGTATTAAATACATAAAAATCTATTAGAAGATTTTGCTGGATTTGGTTGATATAAAACTATTACTCTGGTGCAGAAATGAACAATGTTATGCTATGAACTGATTAAAATCAAAACTTTAAAATATCCGGATGCAGTGGCTCATGCCTGTAATCCCACCACTTTGGGAGGCTGAGGCAGGCAGTTCACCTGAGGTCAGGAGTTCAAGACCAGCCTGGCCAACATAGTGAAACCCCAACTTTACTAGAAATTCAAAAATTAGCCAGGTGTGGTGGCATGTGCCTATAATCCCAGCTACTTGGGAGGCTGAGGCACGAGAATTGCTTGGACCCAGGAGGCAGAGATCATGCCACTGCACTCCAACCTGGGCAACACAGCATGACTCCATCTCAAAAAAACTTTAAAATATATAGATACCTTCTAGAAGAATTTATTCTACTTTAAAATGCAATGGCCATCACCAGACCATAGCCTATTCCCATATAAAATTGTAGTTATTATCACAGAATTGTAGTGCAAGACAATTTGAACATCCTCCTTGTTGTTGTAAATGGATTTCTACTCCTAAAACATATTTTATCTCACAACTAAAATAGATTATATTCTCCCAGACAAACTCTGAGATGTTTTGCCACCCCTATTATATATATGAAAAGGGATGACCGCAATTACTTTTTCATGGTAAATGATCCAACCCAATGCAATGGAACAGAGTTGATAACTGTATCAAGGACACTAAAGGTCGAGGCTGGGCATGGTGGCTCATGCCTGTAATCCCAGCACTTTGGGAGACTGAGGTGGATGATTGCTTGAGCCCAGGAGTTTGAGACCAGCATGGGAAACAAAATGAGACCCCTGCCTCTACAAAAAAAAATTTAAAAGTTTGCCAGGCACGGTTGTAGTCTCAGCTACTTGGGAGGTTGAGGTGAGAGGATCACTTGAGCCAGGAGATTGAGACTGCAGTGAGCCCCGATTGGGCCCCTGCACCCCAGCCCTGTTACAGGGGTAGACCTTCTTAAAAAAAAAAAAAAAAAAAAAAAGTGGGGGGGGACCGGGCGCGGAGGCTCACGCCTGTAATCCCAGCACTTTGGGAGGCCGAGACGGGCAGATCACGAGGTCAGGAGATCGAGATCAGCTTGGCTAACGGTGAAACCCCGTCTCTACTAAAAATGCAAAAAATTAGCCAGGCGTGGTGGCGGCGCCTGTAGTCCCAGCTACTCCGGGAGGCTGAAGGGCAGGAGAATGGCGTGAACCCGGGAGGCGGAGCTTGGAGTGGACCGAGATCGCACCACCGCCCGGTGCACTCCAGCCTGGGCGACTGAGCAAGACTGTCTCAAAAAAAAAAAAAAAAAAAAAAAAAAAAGGAATAAAAAAAAAAAAAAAAAAAAAAAAAAAAAAAAAGGAATACTAATGGTGGAGAAGCAGGCACGATTTAAGGGTTTGGGGTTTTTTGGTAACAGTTTCATTAAGTTTATTTATTTATTTATTTATTTTTTTGAGACTAGGTCTGGCTCTATCGCCCAGGTTGGAGTGCAGTGGTGTGATATCTGCTCACTGCAACTTCTGCCTCCCGGATTCAAGTAATTCTCCTGCCTGCTAATAGTATTAATCCCGAGTAGCTGGGATTACAGGTGCGCACCACCACATCTGGTTAATTTTTGTATTTTTAGTAGAGATGGGGTTTCACCATGTTGTCCAGGCTGGTGTCCAACTCCCGACTTCAAGTGATCCACCCACCTTGGCCTCCCAAAGTGCTGGGATTATAGGCGTGAGCCACCGCACCTGGCCAACTTCAGTGATATTTAATTTAAGTACTGTACAATTCATCGATTTAAAATATACAGTTAACTGGCTTTCAGTAGATTCAGAGTTGTGCAACTATCAATCACCACAATCAATTTTAGATCATTTCCATCACTTCTAGAAAAAAAACCCATGTGAATTCATGAACAACAAAAAAATATGGCACACACACAATGGAATATTATTCAGCCTTAAAAAGGAAGAAACTAACATGCTACAACATGGATGAAACTGGAAGAAGTTCGGCAAAGTGAAATAAGCCCGTCACAAATGGACAAATACTGTATGATTCTATTTACATGAGGTACCTGGAGTAGCCGAATTCAAGGAGGCAAAAAATGATGGTTGCCAGGGGATGAGGAAGAGAAGAATGGGAAGTTATTTAATGTATATGGAGTTTCAGTTTGGGACAATGAAAACGGTTCTACAGATAGTGGTGATGAGTGCACAGTGTGAACGTAGGTAGTGTAACTGTACACTTTAGGATGGTTAAAATTGTATATTTTATGTATATTTTACGTATATTTTACCACAATTTAAAAAGAACAAGAAATCCCATAAGCATTAGCAATCATTCTGCATTCTCAACCAATCTCTGGGAAACCACAAATCCGCTTTCTCTCTTTATAGATTCGCCTATTCTGGACATTTCATATAAACGAAATTACACAACATATGGCCTTTTGTATCTGGCTTCTTCCACTTTACATAGTGTTTGCCAGGTTCATCCATGTTGCAGCATGTATTAGTGTCTCATCCCGTTTTATGGCCAAAACCATTCCATTGTATGGCTACACCACAGTTATCCATTGATCGGTGATGGGCATTCATATTTCCACTTTGGGGCTACTGTGAATAATACTATGAACATTCGTGTAGAAGTTTCTGTGTGAACATATGTTTTCAATTATCTTGGGTGTATTTATAAATACCTAGGACTTGAACTGCTGGATCATAGGATAACTTTATGTTGAGTCCTTTGAGGGAATACTGGAATGTCTTCCAAAGTGATTAGACATTTTGCATTCCCTGAAGCTAGGTTTTGAATTTTTTAAACATCAACACCTTTGGCCTGAGATAACAAAAACCAAACGTAGCCCTATCTTTTCTTTGTTTCACTGGGAGGGAGTAAGAGTGAAGAAGTTAAAACGTAGGGAAAGAAGACCGGCTACTTCCTCTGCTGACTGGAGGGCGCCGGCGGTCCCGGCAAGCCCCGCGCAAGCCGCCCACAGCCGGTATCTGCGCGCATGCGCGCTAGGGCTCCGCTCCGCCCACGCTGCAGGGGGCGAGCAACCACTGCCGCGCTCGGTGGGAGTCAAGGTGGGTGCAAAGCACTACATCGCTGGGGTCCCCCTAACTCGAGGTCGCCGCTGTCACTGGGAGGGGACCTCATGAGTCTGGACTCGCTTTCATCTGCTTTGGTGTGAAGCGTTTTCCTGCCATCTTCCCCTCACCAGTTCATCCTGGTGCTGACAGGGCACGGAGAGAAGACAGAATCCGCGTGCAGCAACACTCGGTGTTCGTTAGACTAAGGGAAGACAGGGAATTAGAATTTTATCCCTGTTCCCTCACTTAACGCTTTTCCACAGGCTTCTATGTCTTTTCCCGACTTAATCTGCTTCCGTGAAAACGCGTCCACTCCCCAGGGCCTCCGCTTTACGCAGTGACACCCAGACTTAGCTGTAACTCTTTTCATGCTACCGAAAGCCAGGCCCTGATTAGTGGCCCGTTCCTGCTTACATCTATCAGGGAATCCCAAAGGTCCTCAAAGTCAGAATATCTCAAGGGAACTTTTCCTCATGTCCTTACGCTTCTCCTTGGGCTCCGTATTTCTATTAGAGCAGCAGCATCCACCCATACACATATTAAAACCCCATAGCTTTCGATTACTCTTCTCCGTATTGTAGACTGATCACCAGGTCCAGTGTGCAATCTTTAAAATTCTGGAATCGATCTCCCCCATTCTATTTCGTTCCTAATGCCCTGGATCAGGTCATCCACCTTGTAGGAATATATCCCAATAGGTAGAAACTGATTATCAGCTCTCCCGCTATTCCAAACTACTTTCCACATTGGCAGCAGGCACAGGTTTCCAAAATAAAATTCTGACTATGGGCTAGGCCTAGTGGCTCATACCTGTAATCCCAGCATTTTAGGAGGACGAGACAGCTACCCAAGAGTTGGAGACCAGCCTGGGCAACATGGTAAGACCCCATCTCTATAACAAAATTAAAAATTATCTGGATGTGGTGGCGCATGCTTGTAGTCCCAGGCAGAGAAGGGAGGATAGCTTGAGCCCGGTAGGTAAAGGCTGCGGCAAGCTGAGATCACACCACTGCACTCCAACCTGGGCAACATAGTGAGACCCTGTCACACACAAAAAAAGTCTGACTATAATACTTCCCACCCTTAAAAAAAACTGATGGCTTCTCTTTGCCTGTATAATCTTCAAAAGCGTGCATAATCTGGCCTCACCCAACCATTTAATTACCAATAGTCTCCCTTCATTTCACCCCAGAAACCTAATGTTCTAGTGCAGCAAAGATGTGATGTTCTGAACACAACACACATTTTGAGATCATTGTACTTATGGCCACAGAGAAATAAACGCTAAAGTTTCACTTCTATGTTGTAGTGAAAAAGACAGTCTCAATTAGTTTTCTTTGGAAAGTAGCCGAACTCCACGTAATGGGTGTGTGGATCCAGTAGTGTAAAACTGATAGTAGGGGTGGGAGGTGACCTCTATCTCTGAAACTCTTTCTCTTCACCTCTCCTCCAATTAGTGAAATAGTCATCTATCAAATGTCACCTTAAAGTAGAATTCATAGCTTCTTCTCTATGACCCCACCGTCTTCAATGAAAATGTCTTAATAGAAAATGTTATGACCCATATACAAGGATGACCCCAAATTTTGTGAAATATTCCGTATATGTTGTTCCTTTCATGCTACCTGGTATATTCATATTTCTATTACAGCACTTAAATTGCCATGTAACTGTTTACATATATGTCTTCTCTCACTGAACTCTTTCTGAAGGATAGGGACCACGTTTTACTCATCTTAGTATCCTTAGTGCCTAGGACAATCTAGTATCCAACCTATAGCAGGCGCCAAATAAATATTTGGTAATGAGGCCGGGTGCGGTGGCTCACACCTGTAATCCCAGCACTTTGGGAGGCCAAGGCGGGCAGATCCCTTGAGGTCAGGAGTTCGAGACCAACCTGGCCAACATGGTGAAACCCGTCTCCACTAAAAATACAAAAATTAGCTGGGCCAGGTGACATGTGGCTGTAATCCCAGCTACTTGTGAGACTGAAGCAAGAGAATCGTTTGAACCCAAGGGGTGGAGATTGGAGTGAGCCAACATAGTGCCTGCCACTGCACTCCAGCCTAGGCGACAGAGTGAGACTCCATCTCACAAAAACAGACAAACAAAAAAAAACTGGTAATGAGTGAATAATGTATAGTCATTATTTCTGACTTCTCTATCTCTGCCTAGCAACTTCTTGAAAGGCAGGATCCAATCTTAATCATTTTATTTTTAGCACCTATTAATCATTTTATTTCTAGCACCTGTTACAACTACTGACATATATTGTTTCCGGTTAGTATTTGCTGTCTTTCAATGAATTTCACATATTCCATTCTTTACTCATTACTGTAGTTTAATGTTTTATGTTGGTCACTAACATAAGATTTAAAATAGGAGGGGACTTTAATCATCTGATACAACACTTTCGTTTCCTGCGGATAAAGATACTGAGCCAAGAGAGGTCAGATGATTTCCCCATAGCAATCAGGAAATGCTGGATCTAGAACCAAGTTTTCAGGTTTCCCAGGTTAATACTCATTCTACTATATTTTGTTACTTAGATTGAATTTATAAAACAACTTTTACCAGTTTCATTTTTTTAAACAACACCTGCAAAGGACCCTCATCATCAGATATTGTTTATCTCAAACATTTTTGGGAGCACCTCTGTTAAGAGACATTTGAGGTTCCTGTTTTTAAGTTTTCAGTCTTGTGAAGGATCTCATAACAATCTGGATAAAAATGTTATTTGGGCTGGGTGCGGTGGCTCACACCTGTAATCCCAGCACTTTGGGAGGCTGAGGCCGGCGGATCATGAAGTCAGGAGATCGAGACCATCCTGGCTAACACAATGAAACCCCGTCTCTACTAAAAATACAAAAAATTAGCCAGGTGTAGTGGCACACACCTGTAGTCCCTGCTACTTGGGAGGCTAAGGCAGGAGAATCGCTTGAACCTGGGAGGCAGAGGTTGCAGTGAACTGAGATCACGCACTACAGCCTGGGCGACAGAGCGAGACTCCATCTCAAAAAAAAAAGAAAGAAAAAAAGCTATTTGGCAAAAGAAAGCAACGTTTTGTTTTTCTTTGGGTAGGAATGTTTTTAAGTTGGAAGTTTTGCCTAGTTTTAGTTCACTGTCAACTTTAATAATTTGTGAAGTCTTATTAGAGATTTTCAAAAATAAAATCAATTTTATTTCTAGGTTTTCACATCCCTTCTACGAGTTTTGCCATCTGTAGCTTTTACCAACAATTGTGGTTTAATCAATTAGAAATAGAGACGAGTCATTAACCAGGAGAAAATGTCAAATCTAAAAATGAAAGAGGCGGCCCTCATCTATCTTGACAGAAGTGGAGGCCTCCAAAAGTTTATAGATGATTGCAAGTACTACAATGGTAGGTTCAGCAAAGGTGAGTAATTTTTAAAACTTTCAAATAAGCTCCTACACATAGCTATCCTGACTTTTACATTTGTATATTTTCACAGATTCAAAACAAAGCTATGCTGTCTATCGATTCAAAATTTTAATAAATCCCTCTGATGTTGTTGAATTAGATGCTGAGCTTGGAAATCACATTTTACACCAACCTTTAAAAGCAGCTGAAGTTTTTCAATCAGTAAGTCAAAAAAAGAAATAATTTTGTGCCACACGGAATTTTTGGTAACTTTTTTTGTTTGTTTGAAATCACAGGTCTGTTTTATTGCTGTTAAGACTCTCTCATTAATTGGACAATTGCAGACTGAAACACAAGTAAGTTTTAGTTAAATTTAAGCAATCTCAGGTACAAATTTACATGATGACTGTAAAAAGGTATTTTTATATTCATAGACTTTTTTTTTTAAAGGATAGTACATTTTTTTCAAAGTTCAATAGAATATCTTACATATGCATCTTTATTTCTCGTATTATCCCTTATAACATTAAACACTTTTTTTTTTTTTTTGAGATGGAGTCTCGCTCTGTTGCCAGGCTGGAGTGCAGTGGTGCAATCTCGGCTCACTGCAGCCTCTGCCTCCTGGGTTCAAACAATTCTTCTGCCTCAGCCTCCCAAGTAGCTGGGATTACAGGTGCCCGCCACCACGCTTAGCTAATATTTTTATTTTTAGTGAAGACAGGGTTTCACCATGTTGGCCAGGCTGGTCTCAAACTCCTGACCCCATGATCCGCCTACATTGGCCTCCTGAAGTGCTGGGATTACGGGTGTGAGCAACCACGCCTGGCCAACATTAAACACTTGTATAATAAAACTTTTCAAACATACCCAAAAGTAAAGGGAATAATACAGTGAACCTTCATATATCTACCACTCAACTCAGATTCAATATTATAATATTTTTTCATACCTGCATCATGAATTTTTTTTCTGAAATATTTTAAAGCAAATCCCAGGCATTCTATTATTTTATCTCTACATACTTTAGTATCAACCTGTAAAAATTATGGACATTTTTCTTTTTCCTTTTTTTGAGAAGGAGTTTCACTCTTGTTGCCCAGCCTGGAGTGCAATGGCGTGATCTCGACTAACTACAACCTGCACCTCCCGGGTTCAAGCAATTCTCCTGCCTCAGCCTCCCAAGTAGCTGGGATTACAGGCATATGCCACCACGCCTGACTAATTTTGTATTTTTAGTGGAGACGGGGTTTCTCCATGTTGGTCAGACTGGTCTCGAACTCCCAACCTCAGGTGATCCACCCGCCTCGGCCTCCCAAAGTGCTGGCATTACAGGCATGAGCCACCATGCCCGGCTGTGGACATTTTTGTTATGTAACCAGAATGTTATCACCCCTACACAAGTAACAATAATTCCTTGATATTATCTAAAGTCCAGTTTACATTTAAATTTGCCCAATTGTTTCAAGAATATCTTACAGTAGGTTTGTTCCAAATCAGGACCAAAACAAAGTTCACACATTATAATTTGTTCTTACATCTCACTAAGTCTCTTTCAGTCTAGAGCCATTTCCTCTCCCTCCCTTTTTAGACCATTAACTTTTTGAAGAAACTAATTGTCCTATGTTATATAATCTTGATTTGTCTAATTGCTTCCTTGTAGGGCTATTTATCTTATTTCCCTAACCTCGTATTTCTAAAATAGAAGTTGACTGTAAAAGCTTTTTAGATTCAGATTCAAATCACTTGACAAGAATACATAATAGTTAGTGTAATGTATTACATATTGTGCTATATCAGGAGGATATAGTATCTATTGTTGCACTTTTAACAGTGTCACAATTGATTAATGGGTTCCTGTGATGTCATTCCCTTCTCTCCATTATACAGTTTCTCGTCAACTTTCACCTAATGGTTTTAGCAGCCATTGATGTTCATTGCCTAGAATTCGTTATTTCATTAGGAGTTGCAAAATTGCAATTTTTCTAATTTTAGCATTCTTTCTAAATTAGCTGAAATTCTTCTGTAAGACTAATTTTCTCTCATCAGCTAGTTAGTTACTCTGAAGTATAATTTGTACAGGAAAGGCAGGGTAAATGATTCTTTGCCTTTATAAAGAGTAATGAGTTGAAATCTAGCAGCCTCCAACAATGACCAATTTTTTTGGGGGGGTTCCTTTTTTAAATATGAGGAACTCATGAACTTTTAAATATATACAGTATGTTTCAATGAGTCTCTGTCATTCCTTTTGATGCTCATATTATCCTACCTTTTGTCATTGGGGGTCCCTTCAAGGTTGCTCCTATGTCTTTTTGACACAGGCCATTTGTTAGAAGATACCCCAAGTTCATCTGTTATATTTTCTATCCTAGGCCTGAAATCAGCCATTTCCCCCAAGGAATCCTGATTCCTTTTAGTGAGAAAAGATACTTAACAAGAGATCACAATCTGGGCACTAGGCATGCTTCTTTGCTACTTGGTTGACATTTTTTTTTTTTTTTTTTTTGAGACGGAGTCTCGCTCTGTCGCCCAGGCTGGAGTGCAGTGGCACAGTCTCGGCTCACTGCAAGCTCCACCTCCCGGGTTCACACCATTCTCCTGCCTCAGCCTCCCGAGTAGCTGGGATTACAGGGGCCCACCACCATGCCCGGCTAATTTTTTGTATTTTTAGTAGAGACAGGGTTTCACCGTGTTAGCCGGGATGGTCTCTATCTCCTGACCTCATGATCTACCAGCCTTGGCCTCCCAAAGTGCTGGGATTACAGGCGTGAGCTACCGCACCTGGCCCTGGTTGACATTGCTTTTTAAGTCTTTTCAGTGGATATGGTCAGAAATTGTGTATATTTAAGGAAAAATTTAAAGTTCATAATGCTATTTTCAATTAAAATATTAGATTACAGGATTTTTACTTATTTAACTTTATACTTGAATATCATTTCTCTAATGCTTAAAATTTTGATTCCTAAGAACATTAACATATCATTACTTGACTTACTCTATAATATACTTACTATATTGTAATACAAGTCAAATTGGATTTTCAATTTTCATTAATACCATTTTTATGTTCTTATTAGATTAATATAGTGCTGAAATTAACACATTTACCTCCCCTGCCAAGTTATGGTCTTGATCTGTGTGAATTTCCACTTGATTATACATCTCAGAGATTTTATATGATGCAAGGAATTGTGATTGCAATGACAACTGTAACCAAGTATACACAAGGTGCAAGATTTCTTTGTTCAGATGAAGCATGCCCTCTTTCAAAAGGTAAATATTAAAAAGGCAAATCAAAGCATTAAGCAATTGGCTAGGCATGGTGGCTCACACCTGTAATCCCTTCACTTTGGGAAGCCAAGGAGGGAGGATCACCTGATCTCAGCAGTTTGAGACCAGCGCAACATGGAGAAACCTCATCTCTACAAAAAATACAAAAATTAGCCCAGCATAGTGGCACATGCCTGTAGTCCCAGCTATTCAAGAGACTGAGTTGGGAGGATTGCTTGGGCCAGGGAGGTCGAGGCTTCAGTGAGCTGTGTTCATGCCACTGTACTCCAGCCTGGATGACAGAGACCCTGTCTAAAAACATAAATAAATAAATAAATTGAACAATTTATTGTTTAATCCTAAATCATATTTACAATTAGTTATAAAACACTCACAAAATAGAAAAAATTTGAATAAAAATTTTATATCTCCTAATGTTTATATATTTACTTTGCATAATCTTGAAATGCATTTTTTCTCCTTTTCTCCGCCACCCCCATCTTAACAAGTCCACCTATATTGCTGAAGTACTTGCTCTTCTCACACATTATTTCATGATGTTGTGAATGAAACATTTAATGTCCTCTCTCAACCCTTTGGCTTAACCTCAATTTAGTCCTTCTCCAGGACTTCAAAATTATCCCCGCCACCTCTCACTGGGGTTGATTGACCCTCCTGTCTTCTCTCTGAACACTCTGCAAATGAATACCACAGGTGGAAATTACCTGTTTCTCTCTGCCACATATAGAAATTGTGTGCTTAAGCATCCATATTGCCAGTGCCTTAGCACAATGCCTTGCAAAAAACAGCTGTTAACTGTTAATTGAACTACCCTGAACTCAAGTGCAAAACTGAATTAATTCCATTTTGAATTAGACTAATTTTAAAGGACTGAAATAGCTACAATCTGTTAGTGTCAGTAATAAAAGAAAAAAGAAAATGTAAAATTAAAAAATTAAAAAATAACAACAATAACAAAAGAAACAAAATAGATAGCTAAATCTGAAAGCAAATGTATCTTACCACTGTTTTCTTTCAGGATTTCAGTATATAAGAGTGCATGTGCCTGGTGCTACAGAATCTGCAACGATAAGAAATGACTTTTTGTGTAATCTATGTGCATCTTCACTTCAAGAAGACAGAAAATTTAGAGTACTTGGTGGTAATATGCATTTACATTTTGTAATTACAATTTTTAAAATAGTGTCTGATATTTCAATATGGAAATTAAATTAAATATATATTCTAATATCTAATTCTTTTTTGCTCTTTGCTTTAAGATAAACAAATAGTTGAAATAATTGCCACAAAGGCACTTCATGCTTTTCAAGGACATTCTAACAACCAGCCATTTAGGTTTCAATCTGTTACAATTTTCCTAAGAGGTAAGTGAATTCTGTTTGAACTCAAAATAAATTGCTATAAGTATGTAACTGGCTGGGCACAGGGGCCGGCTCATGCCTGTAATCCCAACACTTTGGGAGGCTGAGGTGGGAGGATCACTTGAGGCCAGGAGTTTGAGACCAGCTTAAGCAATATAGTGAGACCCCCATCTCTATAAAAAATTTAAAAATAAAAAATTAGCTAGATGTGGTGGCATATGTCTGTAGTCCTAGGTACCTGGGAAGCTAAGGTGGGAGGGTGGGAGGATCGCCTAAGCCCAGGAGTTGGAGGCTGCAGTGAGCCATGATGGTGCCACGGCACTCCAGTCTGGGCAACCGAGACCGTGTCTCTAAAAAAATAAAAAAACGCTGGCCAGTGCAGGCGCGGTGGCTCAAGCCTATAATCCCAGCACTTTGAGAGGCTTAGGATGGTTGATCACCTGAGGTCAGGAGTTCAAGACCAGCCTGGCCAACATGGTGAAACCCCATCTCTACTAAAAATACAAAAATTAGCCAGGCTTGGTGACGGACACCTGTAATCTCAGCTACTCAGGGTGCTGAGGCAGGAGAATTGCTTGAACCCGGGAAGCAGAGGCTGCAGTGAGCCAATATCGTGCCACTGCACACCAGCCTGGGCGACAGAGTGAGACTCCATCTCAGAAAAAAGCCATTGACTTGTTTATGCTTATAAATTATAAATGGTACTTCTATATCTTAAGAATCACAAGTCTTCTAATTCTTGAGTGTTTTAAAAGAGTCATATTTAGTTAATATATCAATTATTCATTCAGTCATACAATACTCACTTAAAATGATATTAGGACCGACTGTGTCCCAAGCACTGAGCTAAGTCCCAGGGCCACAGTTGTTTTAAGACAATGGGATCTCCTATTATTCTATGTGTGTGTCTTACATAAATATTGGAGTTATTGTTCAGCTCTCTGGGGCTAGAGAGAAAAGAGAAAAAAAGGAAGACCACTCTGATCACAGAGATAAGTTAACCCTTGCTCCTTCCTGTAAACCTTTCTTTCACAGCTTTACAACCAACCAACTTCTAACTGTGGCATGGAGGATCAAAATTTTTTGTGTGTTTTTTAAAATAAATTTTGAACTCATGCAAAGTGTTGCCCAAACTCTAGGTATGAGAGAGGAACCTAGTATAATACAAGAGGGTAGACTTTGTAGGTAGGCAAACCTAAATGTGAATTTCAGTTCTGCTTCTTACTAGTTATTTAGCTTTGTGCAAGCCATGTAACCTCTCGGTTTTTTCATATATAAAACACAGATAAGAATATCTTACAGGCTGAGCATGGTGGTTTACACCTGTAATCCCAACACTTTAGGAGGCTGAGGCAGGAGGATTGCTTGAACCCTAGAATTTGAGGTTACAGTGAGCTGATTGTGCCACTGCACTACAGCCTGGGCAACAGAGTGAGACTTTGTCTCAAAAACAAACAAAAAAACACATATTTTATAGGTTAAATAATGTTTTTACAAGTACTTACATGTATTGTAGACAGTAAAATTATTTTCCTCTCAAATAAAATTATCACTTATAAGGTCATTTTTATTAACATTCCTTTTCATTGAATGGAAAAATGTTCCATCTTACATGGAATAATTTTATTTTCTTTCGACCATGTTATAGAAGAGTGTCTAGTTGCTATATCACATGCTTCTTGGAGTTAAATTCATCCTTGCAAATAAGAATCAAAATTTATCAGCAATAAAATTGCATCAGTTTATATTATTAGTGTCACTTTATGTGGATATTATGCTAAACAAAAATACTCCTAACTCAACTACTGAATTGTTATTAGTTCTCGATCTTTGAACCATATGTTCATGTACAAAGTTCATTTAGTGAATATGCATTTTCTTCTGTTTTTAATAATTTTAGATGAATCAGTGAATAAAATGAATATAGGAAATGAATATAAAATTATTGGAATTCCAACCTGTGTAAAAGCTTCACAAACTGCTGTCTGTATAGAAGCAAATAGCATAACTTTTTGTAATTCAAAAGGTAAGGAAAATTTTAGTATTATATATTAACAAATATTTAAATTTAAATCTGTTTGTTCCACAGATAAGTATTGTTTGCCTATGTACTAGGCATTCTTTTAAGCACTAAGAATACAGTTGTAAACAGGACAGTCAAGGTTTCTGCTCTTAAATCATATGGCAGACAGTCAATAAACATGTAAAGTAAGCAAAAGACAATTTCAGATAATAAGTACATGAAGGAAATAAAACAGGATAATGTTGTGGAAACTTTCTAGCATGCAGGACTCCTTTCTTTGGGCTAAGCCTTATTTTAATTTTTAAAATAATTAATAATGAGAAAAATGTTTCAGGATTAGAGATTAGTCAAAGGATTTTTCTATACCACTAGCCAAGGCAATTCTGGGTTAACTGTTGTGGTCTGAGGAGGAGAGCTCAATAAAGTAGCATCCTTGGCTGGGCGCTGTGGCTCACACCTGTAATCCCAGCACTTTGGGAGGCCAAGGTGGGTGGCTCACGAGGTCAGGAGTTCAAGACCAACCTGGCCAAGATGGTGAGACCCCATCTCTACTAAAAATACAAAAGTAGCCGGGCACGGTGGCAGGTGCCTGTAATCCCAGCTACTTGGGAGGCTGAGGCAGGAGAATCGGTTGAACCTGGGTGGCAGAGGTTGCAGTAAGGCAATATTGCACCACTGCACCACTGCACTCCAACCTGGGTGATAAAATGAAATTCCATCTAAAAAAAAAAAAAAAAAAAGCATCCTTTTCTTCAACTGATCTGAACCAAATCAGGAAATAAGATAAAGGCAGATGAGGACCAAAATATCACCTTTATTACTGATAATTTCCTTTAACAACTCCAACATGCGTTAACATTATGTAAACAAAAGTGGAGAGCAGACCTATTCTTTCAACTTGGCTCACAAGTATCTAAATATAGAAAAGGCTGGTTAAATCTTGAATAGAGTTGGATTTTTTTTGTAATCTCTGTGTTCCCTGAATGGGCTATATATATTCAAAGTGATCCCTAAATGCAGAAGGACCTGAGGAACCAAAGCAGGCAGACAAGTCCAGCTTGTCATTATAGGATGGTTTTACTGGGGAACTTAAGGACAGAAGCATGATCTTGGGCAGCCGCAAGACAGGTGGATCTCCATGCTATTACCCCCAGACCCAGGAATTATATAGGGAAGGAGTACACACGCTTCCGAGGGATTGGATAGGAATTTATCTAAGGACAGGATTTACAGTAAGTATTAATTATCAAGGTTGATTGATCTAAGGGCAGGATTTATGGTAAGTATGTGCTCTTGCTTGAGGAACAATAGATCAACTGGCAATTTCCCAGCATTCACAGATCTAGGGTTTACCAGAAGTCAACATGGTAGATTAGCTTCCAAGATGAAGTTTCTTTTCTTTCTCTCTTTCTTTCTTTTTTTTTTTGAGACAGAGTCTTGCTCTGTCGCCCAGGCTGGGGTACAGTGATGCTATCTTGGCTCACTGCAACCTCCACCTCCCGGGTTCAAGGGATTCTCCTGCCTCAGCCTCCTGAGTGGCTGGGATTACAGGTGCTCACCACCATGCCCAGCTAATTTTTGTATTTTTAGTAGAAACGGGGTTTCACCATGTTGACGAGGCTGGTCTCGAACTCCTGACCTGATCTGCCCACCTCGGCCTCCCAAAGTGCTGCAATTACAGGCATGAGCTACCACGCCCAGCCCAGGATGAAGTTTCTTTAGCTTCCATACTGTGGGTAATCATCAGTAGTAATAGACACCCAAGTTGAATTTAAATGCAAGTAGATTCTAAATACTTCTACTTTCTTGAAGAGAAAAGCTTCTTAAAAGAACAAAAATGTTAAAGAAAGAAAGCACTGATGGATTATAGAGGGTTTAGTGATCTTTTAAATATTTTCTGCTAAGTGCTTTAAAATTTATTGATTTGGTAGCAGAACATGACTTTTCTGTAGATGGAGAGTGTGCTTTCTTATGCTGAACTCCAGAATGAGACATATTTAACTACCCAAATGTGGCAAGAGCTGAACTAAAGTAGGCCTCTCTTAGTCCATGGGCATGTATGAGTTAGAGGAAATCATTGCTTTTTGATGGCAGCCCAGAAAGAGGGAGAATGGGACTAGGTTATACATGCACAGCTGTTCCACCCACATTACCAATTGGATAAATCACTCATTCCTTTCAGGAGGTGGAGAGTGAGAGGATGGAGAAGATCTAGAATTTTACAGTATACTACAGTACAGTGCTTTCAAAGTAGTGGAATGTAAATCTTTCTGTTTAACAGCAACATTCAAATATTTCCCATTCTGCTTATTATTCCTCTTTGAAGGTGATACATAGAAATATAGGAGCAAACACAGCAATGCAGGCACTCCATGAACTGGTTTGCTCACATAGATCTTAAAAGGAGAAGAATGAGGGATTTGCCTGCAACCCACAGCCAATCTATGTGGACACAAAGGGTGACTTCTTCCTTGTATTACATTCCCTGAGGTAGAAATGGTAAACTAGCATGACCTCGAATCATAATTTAATATCATTCTAAGAATTTAAAGGCCAAGCATGGTGGCTCAGGCCTGTAATCATAGCCCTTTGGGAGGCCAAAGCAGGGGAATCAGTTGAGGCCAGGGGTTCAAGACCAGCCTGGGAAACATAACAAGATCCTGTCTCTAAAAAAAAAGAATATGGTATTATTAGAACTATAATTTGATAACATTTTATATAAAGGGAGTCAAATATCTATAATGTTGTCTTGTTTTAAAACCCTTTCTAATATATATGTTAATATTTACTTTCAGTTCCTTCAGGAATTAGTGACAATTTCAGGTGTCTCCTCTCCTTAACTTCCAGCTCATGCTGGAAGTTTACAGCAATTCTTGCCAATATCTTTGCATCACAAATTACCCCTCCTGGGACTTACAATTTGCTCAAGCTCTGTTTGTTGATGAGTCTAGTACAGACAACTGACCGTAAGAAGGAACTAGAAGATTGCCTGGATATTTTAATTATAACAAGTGATACTCTACTCATAGACAGGTAAATACATGACATGAATTTTTACAAATATTAATTGGTCACAGATTTGCATACATCCTTTCCATGAGCATTATTACAAGAAGAATATTTAGAATTTTTCTGAGCCAGTATAAGTACTGAAATCAATCTTTATCAATAAAATTCAAAACCTTTGAAAGATAAATTGATAAGTGCTAAGTCGAATTACTCCAATTTTCAAACTATTTCCTCACTCAGACCTTTGTAAATAATTGCATCCTTCCCAGCCTTCCTTTCCCCTTATCCCTAGCTCTGTATGCTGTTTCTGTACTTTGTTTTGAATAATCTTCCCCCTAAGGAACAAACTAACCATTTTCTTATTTTTCTTCAATATTCCATCAATAATATTGACTCACTGCATCCAAATAAGCCTGTCAGAAGTGCCATAATTACTGTTTGGGGGGAATATCATCCTAACTTTGGAGTAAGCCTCTACTTAGCATTTTGTGGCTCCCCACTAGCAAGTACCCTTTCCTTAAAAAGTTGCTTAAATATTCACAAAGCTAGGAATAAACTCCTTATTTAGTATCTTGTATGCAGTTTCAAAGCAAAAAATAAATTTACAAAATGAATTTAAAATAGAAAAAAATAAAGTTCAAATTAACAGTAATTTAATTGAACAGATTATGTTTTGCTAAAATTAAATTGCCACTGGTGATGTAAATATGGTACCAAATGCCCAGATTGTACTACTTTATTCTTCTACTGACAGAATATGAGAGTATTTGTTTCCTCACAGCCTTACCAACTCTGGGTATTATCAAACTTATATTTTTGTTATCATTATTTTTTGAGACAGGGTCTCACTCTGTCACCCAGGCTGGAATGCAGTAGCATGATCATGACTCACAACAGTGTCAACCTCCTGGGCTCAAGTGAACCTCCATCCTCAGCCTCCTGAGTAGCTATGACTACAGGTGCACACCACTACACTGGGCTAATTTTTTAATTTTTTAAATAAGCAAAGTCTCCCTATGTTGCTAAGGCTGAACTCCTGGGCTCAAGCAATCCTCTCACCTCATTATAAACTTTAAAATTTTGCAATCTGGGCTTGGCGTGGTGGCTCAGGCCTGTAATCCCAGCACTTTGGGAGACCGAGGCAGGTGGATCATGAGGTCAGGAGATCGAGACCATCCTGGCTAACATGTGAAACCCCATCTCTACTAAAAATACAAAAAACTAGCCAGGCGTGGTGGCGCGTACCTGTAGTCCCAGCTACTCAGGAGGCTGAGGCAGGAGAATTGCTAGAACCCAGGAGGCGGAGGTTGCAGTGAACTGAGATCACACCACTGCACTCCAGCCTGGGCCGCAGAGACTCTGTCTCAAAAAAAAAAAAAAAAAATTGCCATCTGATAGGTGGAAAATTGTATTTTATTTTAATTTGCATTTATTTAATTGGAAATAATTTTGGCATCATATAAAACTTACTAAATATGTATTATTTTTCTATGAACCGCCCATTCTTGATCATTGTTTATATTATGTTGTTTTTATTATTGATTTGCAATGCATGTAAATTAAGGTCTTTCTCTCTTTTTCTGTTTGCCATTAATCTTTTGACATTTTAAAATGATATTTGGGGCTCTGTGAGAGATTGGTTTGTTTTTTCTTTTTAGGTAAAATTTACACACAGAGAAATAATCAGATCTTATTATCATCACTAAAAACACTGAGTTTTGACAAATAACATACACTCCTTTAATCACCACAACAAGATATAGAACATTTCTGTCACCCCAGAAATTTCCCTCCTTCCCTCTTCCAATCAGTTCCTATCTTCACTGGTGATTTCTGTCACCATAGATTAATTTTCCTGTTCTTGAACTTCAGATAATGAAATCATACAGTGCATCCTCTTTTGGGTCTCCTCTCTCTTACTCAACAAAATATTTTTGAATTGATCCAATTGTGTACATTAGTAGTTCATTGTTTCTGTTGATGAGTAGCATTTCATTATATGAATGTACCAAAATTTGTTTATCTGTTCTCATAGTGGAAGTCATTTGGTTTTGCATGTTTTGACTATTACTAATAAAGCTGCTGTAAACATTCTTGCACAAGCCTTTTTGTGGACATGTATTTTCATTATCTTGGGTAAATACCTAGGAGTGGAATTGCTGGGTCATAAGGTAGATGTATAACTTTTTTTTTTGAGATGGAGTTTCACTCTTGTTGCCCAGGCTGGAGTGCAATGGCACAATCTCAGCTCACTGCAACCTCCTTCTCCCAGGTTCAAGCAATTTCCCTGTCTCAGCCTCCCTAGTAGCTGGGATTACAGGCACGTGCCGTCACACCTGGCTAATTTTTGTATTTTCAGTAAAGATGGGTTTCACCACATTGGCCCGGCTGGTCTCGAACTCCTCACCTCAGGTAATCCACCCACCTCAGCCTCCCAAAGTGCTGGGATTACAGGCATGAGCCACTGTGCCTGGCCTATAATTTTATAAGAAACTGCCAGTTGGCTGGGCGCAGTGGCTCATGCCTGTAATCCCTGCACTTTGGGAGGCTGAGGCAGGCAGATCACCTGAGGTCAGGAATTTGAAACCAACCTCGCCAATGTGGGGAAACCCCATCTCTACTAAAAATACAAAAATTATTTGGGTATGGTGGCATGTACCTGTAGAACTGGCTACCCTTGGGAAGTTGAGACATGAAAACTGTTTGAACCCAGGAGGTGGAGGTTGCAGTGAGTCGAGACAGTGCCACTGCACTCCAGCTTGGGCAACAGAGCAAGACTCAGAAAGAAAGAAAGAGAGAAAGAGAGAAAGAAAAGAGAGAGAGAAAGAGAGAGAGAGAATGAGAGAAAGAAAAGAAAGAGAGAAAGAAAAAGGAAGGGAGGGAGGGAGGAAGGAAGGAAGGAAGGAAAGAAAGAAGGAAGGAAGGAAAAGAAAAGAAATTGCCAGTTTTCCAAAGTGGTTGTACCATTTTACATTCCTGCCAACAAAGTAAAGAGTTCCTCTTGTTTCCATCTTCACCAACATTTGGTGTTGTGAGAGCCCTTTTCATTTTAGCCATACTAGTGGAAATGAAATGATATGTCATTGTTCTAATTTGCGTTTCCAAGATGACTATTGATTTCAACTCTTTTTCATGTGCTTATTGGCCACTCGTATATCTCTTTTTATGAAGTGTCTGTTTTTATAAAGTGTTTGTTCATTTTTTAGTTTAGTTGTTCTGGATGCATGTCCTTTGCCAAATATATGTATTATAAAATTTTTCTCCAGGTATAAAGCTTTTTAAAAATTGTCTAAAGGTATCTTTGATGAGCAGACTTTCTAGTTTTGATGAAATTCAATTTATTATTTACTTTTATGCTTAGTGTTTTCTGACTTCTGTTTAAGAAATCCTTGTTTGGCTGGGCGCGGTGGCTCATGTTTATAATCCCAGCACTTTGGGAGGCTGAGGTGGGCGGATCACCTGAGGTCAGGAGTTCGAGGCCAGCTGGCCAACATGGTGAAACCTTGTCTCAAAAAAAAAAAAAAAAAAAAAAAAAAAAAATTAGTGGGGCATAGTGGTGCACACCTGTAGTCTCATCTACTGGGGAGGCTGAGGCAGGAGAATCATTTGAACCCAGGAGGCGGAGGTTACAGTGAGCAGAGATTGTGCCACTGCACTCCAGCCTGGGTAACACAGCGAGACCCTGTCTCAAAAAAAAAAAAGAAGAAATCTTTGTCTATCCCAAGGTCATGAAGTTTTTAAATGTTTTCTTCTAGAAGCATTATAGTTTTAGTTTACTATTTATTTATGTAGAGATAAGTCTTGCTAGGCTGGTCTCAAACTTTCAGGCTCAAGCAATCCTCCTGCCTTAATCTCCCAGAGATTGGTAGGAGGTATGAGTTAAAGTTAATATTTGTCCTATGCATTTATCCAATTTTTCCACACTAATTGTTGAAAAGATTTTCCTTTCCCCATTAAATTGTTTTGATACCATTGTTCAAATTCAATTGAACTAGGCAGAATCTGGGTATAAAATTGAACTGGATGTAAATCTTTTTGAACTCTCTTTTGTAATACTTTGATCTATTGTTCTATACTTATACCAATACTACACTCTCTTGATTATTGTAGCTTTATGTTCAGTCTTAAAATCAGGTAATGCAACTTTATCCTTCATTTTAAAGATTAAAACAATTTTAGATCCTTTACATTTTTAAATAAATTTTAGAATCAGTTTATTTTTAGTTTTTGAGACAGGGTCACAGTCTGTTGCCCAAGTTTGAGTGCAGTGGCACAATCATGACTCATTGCAGCCTCAAACTCTTGGGTTCAAGTGATCCTCCCACCTCAGCCTGCTGAGTAGCTGGGAACAGAGGCATGCACCACCACATCTGGTTAACTTTTTAGTTTTTTGTAGAGATGAGCTCTTGCCATATTGCCTAGACTGGTCTTGCACTCTCAGGCTCAAGCAATCCTCCTGCCTTGGCCTCCCAAAGTGCTGGGATTGCAGATGTGGGTCACTGTGCCCAGCCAAATCAGTATGTTAATACCAACCAAAAAGAAGCTTTTGAGTATTTTGATTGGAACTGTATTAAACTTATAAATCAATTTCAGGGAGAATTAACATCTTAATAATATTGAGTCTTCCAATCCATGAATGTGGCATATCTCTCTATTTATTTAGATCTTTAATTGCTCTCAGCAATGTTTTTATAAAGGTCATGCAAATATTTTGTTAAATTGGTTCTAAAAATATTTGATATTTTTGATGCTACTAAAATGGTAGTGGTTTCTTAACTTCATTTTCAATTGTTTACTATGAATATATAGAAATACAATTGATTTTTGTATTTTGACTTTGTATTCTGTGACTTTCTGTGTATCAGTAGTTTTAGAAGTTCCTTAGCCAGTTCCAATGTGTAGCCAAATTTGAGGCTCATTGTTCCATATCACTAAGTGCTCAGCCTAGCTGCCTATTAGAATCACCTGAGAGAAGTTTTTAAAAATATTTATCACTGTGTCTCACCCCCAGAGTTTCTAATTTAAGTGGTTTGGGGTGGCACTTGGCATTGGAATTTGTTAAATCTCTCCAGGTAAGGTTAGTGCAGGCTGTGGTTGAGAACCACTCCTTATAGCCTTGCAAAGGTTTCTTTCTAAATATCGCTGTCTCATTTTATATATCTTCAAACATCCAAATTCCTTAGAATGGTACATGCGCTAGACATATTTTATACCATCTACCTATCCACATCTCACCCTCTTTTGCATTGCATGTCTATGCCTACTTTTGTATCACCCCCTTTTGTGTCGCACGTCTATGTCTACTAATCATAGTTGATTGCACTAGGAAGCTATAATTTCTGTGGCAAGGATTTGAAAGCTAGGCTAAGGTAATCATATTCCTTTTTCAGAATTTAAATTTGGAATATGAAGAGACTGAGGCAATTAGCAAAGAGGTTAGAAACCAAAATGACATATCAAGAATTGCCATGAGACGGACAGGCGCCTCATGCCTGTAGTTCCAGCTACTTGGGAGACTGAGCAGGCAGGCTTACATGAGTCCAGGAGTTTGAGGCTGTGGCAGCTCTGACTGTATCATTGCTATGACTGTATCATTGCATTCCAGCTTGTATGACAGAGTGAGACTCTGTCTCTTAAAAGAAAAAAAAATTTTCCTGGACACAGTGGCTCTGTCTGTAATCCCAGCGCTTTTTGGGAGGCCAAGGCAGGAGGATCATTTGAGCTCAGGAGTTCAAGGCCAGCCCGGGCAACATGGTGAAACCCATCTCTACAAAAAAAAAAAAAAAAAAAATTTGAGCCGGCACAGTGACTTGTGCCTGTGGTCTCAGCTACTTGGGAGGCTGAGGAAGGAGAATCGTTTAAGCCTGGGAGGTGGAGGTTGGAAGCTGAGATTGTTCCATTGCACTCCAGCCTAGTGACAGGCAGAGGTTGCGGTGAGCTGAAATCACGCCACTGCACTCCAGCCTTGGTGCCTCAGAGAGACTCAAAACAAAACAAAACAAAAACAAACAAACAAAAAACCCCACAATTGCCATGATACAGAAACAGCAGAGTGATAGTTTTGATGGAACGCTAGAAAGCCTAATGCAAAAATTCTGAATAGGCAAAAGAAAGCAATCCATAAAAAGAAGGCCTAATTCAAATGTCATCTCTCTATAACTTTCCCTGATTCCCTTCCAAGAAGAAATAATACTCCCATGGATGTTTTTTTGTTGTTGTTGTTTTTGAGACAGTCTTGCTTCGTCTCCCAGGCCAGAGTGCAGTGAAGTGATCTCGGCTCATTGAAATGTCCACCTCCCAGGTTGAAGCAATTCTCCTGCCTCAGCCTCCCAGTAGCTGGGATTACAGGCATGTAATTACAGGCCCAGCTAATTTTTGTGTTTTTAATAGAGACGGGATTTTGCCATGTTGGCCAGGCTGGTCTCGAACTCTTGACCTCAAGTGATCCGCCTGCCTCATCCTCCAAAGTATTGGGATTACAGTTGTAAGCCACTACACCTGGCCACCATGGATGTTCTAAATACTTTTTTTTTTTCTTTTTTTTTAAATGGAGTCTTGCTCTGTCACCAGGATGAAGACTTTTTTTTAGTACTTATCACATTGTGTTTTAGTTTTTTATATCTCTCTATTTAGACTGTGAGCTTTCCAAGTTAAGGTCCAAGTCTTGTATATAATTTTGTTTTGTTTTTTGAGACAGAATCTCACTCTGTCACCCAGGCTGGCGTGCACGATCTTGGCTCATTGCAAGCTCTGCCTTCCGGGTTCAAATGATTCTTGTGTCTCAGCCTCCTGAGTAGCTCATCCTCCTGTAGTAGGACTACAGGCATGCACTAGCACGTCTGGCTAATTTTTGTATTTTCAGTACAGATGGGATTTCACCATGTTAGTCATATATATTTTTATCCCTAGCACAATAGCTGGTGTATCACAGGTGCTCAGTAAACATAGAATAAAATTAAATTTAATGTAACACATTGTGACTTTTGAAAATTAAGTAATAGTAATGAAAAGTTTATTTTTTTTTTCCCTAGGCTTCTGAATTTTAGCATAAACCTTGTTCCCCGTGGCATACGTCATCTAGTCTCTACTGAAATTTTTCCCACTCTATCCAGGAATAAGTATGGAACTGGAGCAGTTAGCATTCAGGCTGGCAGTGCTTTGCTAGCTAAAGGTGGTATCTGCTTTATAGGAGACTTGGCTTCACACAAAAAAGATAAACTTGAACAGCTTCAATCAGGTAAACAATATTTGTAAAATTAATTTTCACCTGTTTAACTTATACTCTCATCCATGTTGAGATACTTAACAGTTAAGATAGTATTGCAGATGTTTGAGGGTTTGAGAAATTATGTTAGATGCCATTTCTCATTTTGGTTTTATAAGCAAAAACAGAAATTTAATGTGCAAATGCACAGTTTTAGCCTTTGCTCTCAGTGTGCTAACACATGAGCTTGTAATGGACCAGATTTATTTCCTCTTCTTGTCTTATAGCATTAGCTACCACTTCCAGTATAAAGTTGAAAAGTGGTGTTAAGAGAGAAGACATCCTCGCCTTGTTCCTGATCTGAGTGGGAAAGCTTCAAGTTTCTCACCATGAAGTATGATGTTGGCTGTACATTTTTTGTAGACATTCTTTATCAGTGGAAGTTCTTCTCTATTCCTAATTTTCTGAGGGTTATTTTTTTAATCATAAATGGATATTGGATTTTGTCAAATGCTTTGCTGCATCTGTTAATATGATCATGTCACAGGATCCTTTGGGTGCTGCTTCTCAAGCCAGAAACCTCTATGTCCAGCAGCACCTCTGCTTGAGTTTCACTCCTGCCTGCTGGGCATGTTCTGCTCACTCGGCCCAGCAGGCTGCACTTGGCTTACACTGTCAGTCCAGATCCCATGCCTGCTGAGGGCAAGCCAGGAGTGGAACAGCGAGGGGGTGTGTGAGTGAGCAAGCACAGGGTCCAGCCACTGCACATAGCCAGGCATGCCAGCTGCTGTGGCAGGGCAGGCAGCTCCAGGTGCTGGCACAGGTGCTGGCTTCATGCGTGGCTGTAGCTGGAATAGGCATACTGCAAGTGGCTTCTACTGAGGGCCCTGGTGTCTGGATGAGGGGAACAGGGTGGCATCCGAAAAGTTGGAGACACCAGCAACAGTGGAGCCCCAAGGGGTTGCAGGGAAGCATGCTACAGGTCTCTTGTTCCTGTTGCCCACAGCTCAGTGGATGGGGGGCACATGTTAACAGCTCTTTCAGTCCACTGCCTCACTCCAGCCCATGGCTCCTGGGCTGGCCCAGCACATTGCCACTTTCTGTCATGGGACAGCTGCCCAAGGCCGACAGAAGGCAGGAGGATTATAGTGTTACAGCTCTGACTCAGGAAATCCTGAGGTCTGGGCCTCCAGAAGGGTCCTTGATCTTCAGTCCCGCAGTCCAACAAACAAGAATGTGTCACCACTCGCAGCTCAGCAAGCTGACTAGGAAAGTGTTACAGCCCTTTTTGTTCCTGCCTGCCACTCAACAAGCCTGCCAGGAGAGTGTCATAGCCCTTTTTGCACCTGCCATTCAACAGGTCCCAAGTTCTTGTCCCATGTCCAGGAAGAATTAGCTTATGTGGACAACTGGAGGGTGAGCAAGTTGGAGAAGAGTTTTATTGCATGGCAGAACAGCTTTCAGTGGACAGGAGACCCGAAGTGGGTAGCTCCTACCCACAGGCAGGTAGTCCCAACCTGTGTCTGAGTCTGACTGACTCTGGGGTTTTTATGGGCTAAGAATAGAGGAAGTACATGCTGATTGGTCCATGGGTGGGCCCAGAAAAACACCATCTGATTGGCTGAAAGGCATCAAGGACATTCTCACTCCAGGTGGTGGACTCCACCCAGAACTGGCAGCCTGGTTTTCAGGCTTCAAGCTGTCTCTTTCCTGAAGGTTGAGTTCCACCAGGGACCTGCCCCTCTCTGCCCAGGAACCTGTCTGCCTACTGCCATCATCAATCATATGATTTTTCTCATTTAGCCTGTTGATATGATGGATTACATTAATTGATTTTTGAATATCGAACCGGCCTTGCATACCTGGGATAAAGCTTACTTGGTCATGCTGTATAATTCTTTTTCTACGTTGTTGGATTTGATATGCTACTATTTTTGTTGAGGATTTTTAAAATCTATGTTCATGAGAGATATTGATCTGTAGAGTTTTTTCCTTATAATGTTGTTGTTTGGTTCTGTATTAGAGTAATGCTGGTTGGGCCAGATTTATAACTAGCAAGGATATGGACAGCCATGGACTGGGCAAAGAGCAGTCAGAGCCTTGCCTTCTTGGCATACCAGCATGAATGTACAAGTGTGCTCAGGGCACACAGCATATTGCTTCACTTTAAAAGAGAATACAGAAATTAGCTGTGCCCAGTGGCTCACACCTGGAATCCCAGCACTTTGGGAGGCTGAGGCAAGAGGATTGCTGGAGGCCAGGAGTTCCAGACCATCCTGGGCAACACACTGAGACCCCATCTCTACAAAAAAAAAAAAACCCCAATAAAAACAAAATGAGGGTGTATTAGTCTGTTTTCATGTTGCTTATAAAGATATACCTGAGATTGGACAATTTACAAAATAAAGAGGTTTATTGGACTTACAGTTCCACATGGCTGAGGAGGCCTCACAATCATGGTGGAAGGTGAAAGGCACGTCTCATATGGTGGCAGACAAAAGAAGAGAGCTTGTGCAGGGAAACTCCCCTTTTTAAAACTATCAGATCTTGTGAGACTTATTCACTATCACAAGAACAGTGCAGGAAAGACCTGCTCCCATGATTCAGTTACCTCCCACCAGGCCCCTCCCACAATACATGGGCATTCATGGTGAGATTTGGGTGGGGACACAGCCAAACCATATCAGAGACTATAGAAATAGACCCACATTTTATAGTCAATTGATTTTTGACTACAGCACCAAAGTTAGTCAGTGGGAAAAGGAGTTTTTCTCATCAAAGGATGGTGGAACATCTGGCTGGTATAGAGGAGGGCCTCAGTACAACTGCACTTGTTCCACACTCATGAAGCTGGCCCTGCTAGTATGTCCTCTCCCCACAAGAGCTTGGAATATGGTTTAAAACTCTGCTGTCATCATCTTCAAATTTTTAGTAATTTTATCTTTGTATTATAAGGAAGTCCAATGAGATAATGGCACTTGACTGTGAGTAGAGGAGACACATGGATGCCTGTTTTTACTGTGCCTTCCTGCCCCATTTCATACAGCATTTGTGATCACTATGCAGCTTTCATAACACACTTAATTTGTACTTTCTTTGATTGTTGCTGGACTCCCATGTGTCATGGGTGCACTATAAGCCAGTGCCTATAGTTCCATATCAACACATTTTCAACTGAGTAAGAGGGAGTGCTAATAACCCCAAGTGGCCATGCTTTTCATTTGAATTAGATGTGCTTCTAATGCAGAAAGAAGGCAATGGCCTTTCAAGAAACACACATTACCAAGTAGCCCTATCATCCTCTTTCTTACTTGGTTGGTTCCCTGTATTTGCCAACCACTTACACTGAAAATGATGACACAGGAGGAAAGGGAAAGATAGGGCTAATCCATAGCCTTGTCTTTTCAGTCATTCCTCACTTATCAGTAAGCTGAAGGTAGAGAGTGTTGGTGAAATGTATGCATATCAAGAAGTAAAATAAAAATTGTTTTGTGCAGTATTTCCACTGTTCTGGTAAAAACAAAATACATATGCTGCAAAGTACTATTGGTTCCACTTATAAGATAAATGCCCATATATTTGCATTATACAATATAAAGATAAAAGTATTGTACAATATAAAGATAAAAGGTAAAATTTATGGCAATATAAAATTTTAATTTTTCTTTATTTAGAATGGCAATACTACTATTACATTTTTTGTAACAGTTTTATTGAGATTCACACATCATACAATTCACCACTGAAAGTATACAGTAAAGTGCTTTTTATTATATTCACAGAGTTGTGCTACTATTACCACTAACTTCGGAATATTTTCATCACCCCAAAAGGAAGCCCCATACCCATTAGCAGTCAACCCCCAGTCCCTGCCTCCCGTCACCTACTCCCACACAGTCCCTGGCAAACACTATTTGCTTTCTGTTTCTGTGTATTTGCATATTCTGAACATTGCATAGGCAGTCTTCCCTCAGTATTCTCCAGGGATTGGTTCCAGGGCCTCTGCAGATACCAAAATCCACAGATGCTCAAGTCCCTTATATAAAATGGCAGAGTATTTGCATATAATCTATGCACATCCTCCCATATACTTTAAATCATCTCTAGATTACTTATAATAGTCAATACAATGTAAATGCTTTGCAAATTATTATACTGTGTTGTTTTTTATTGTTGTTATTGTTTTATTTATTTATTGAATATTTTTCATCAGCCGTTGGTTGAATCTACAGATGCAGACAGACCTTTATATATAGATGGCTGACTATAAATGGAATCAAATGATACGTGGTCCTCCGTGATGGCCCTGGCCTCTTTCTTCTTATTCTCCTTCTTCCTCCTTCTTCTTTCTTTCTTTCTTTTTTTTTTTTTTTTGAAACAGGGTCTTACTCTGTTGCCCTGGGTGGAGTGCAGTGGTGTCATCATACCTCACTGCACCCTTGAAGTCCTGGGCTCAAGCAGTTCTCTCACCTCAGCCTCCCAAGTAGCTGGGACCACAGTAACATGCCACAATGCTTGGCTAATTTTTTGTAGTAACAGAGTCTTGCCACGTTGCCCAGGCTGGTCTCAAACTCCTGGGCTCAAGCAATACCCCCATGTCAGCCTCCCAAAGTGCTCCATATTTTTTGTTTGGGTTTTAAGTGGGAGGTGGGAGGACAATGAATTTGGTTTTGAACTTGTTGAATTTGAGATGTATTTCCCCCCAGTCATTGTAGTTCATATTATCTCTGTCTTTTCCTCTTTCACTCCCACATGGATGGCCTGCTTTCTATCATTTTCCCCACATAAAAGAACATGATTTAATTTTAGCCTCTCTTGTAAATCTGTATTATATGACCAATCTCTTAGCCCCCTGCCTAGTCCACTCAGGTGCCCCGCCACAATTCCAGCTATGTGCTTTGGACTCCTGGTTCTCATCAAGTCATGGGACACATAAGGCTTCAAATATGTATTTTTTATGGCAGAACTTAGAGCATTGTCTTGCAAAACAATCAAATTTACTTTCTTTCACTATCCAAAGTCTGCACAGTATAATTCTATATAATAATATGTTATTAATTTGTAGACATTTAGACCAAAATTAACTTACATAACAAATGGATAATATCTTCTGACTTAGTTCTGGAGAGCAGAAACATCACAGTGTACATCCCAGGAAAGAAGTTTGGGGAGGATACTGATCAACAGATGACTTTTCCAGTTCAGTGCAGTTTTTGGTCTTTTGTTGATATGGATTCATCTTCAAGGAGAAATGCACAGAAAATCAACACTCTAATTGGTCAGATGGTAAGGTATATGTATATTTTATTGTTAGAATGTTGTTCAAAGAATTAAGTCACAAATTTAATACATCTTAATATTTTTGTTATTAACCTGTTTCTATACTTTATTGAGTACCAGAACTACCTGATGACTCAGTTGTTTACAAATTGTAATGTTTTTTAGCCATGTAGTGAGCCAGATATCTGCTCACTGGAAATTACTATTTGAATAGGTAGCTGGAGAGGCTTTAATGAATAATGTATACAAAAATACTCAGTAAAGAGGCTTTAAAAAATCAATCACCAAAAAGTTCCCAGATTATTAAAAAATTACCTTAAATTATAATTAATATGATAAATAATAACTAATAATAACAACATATAATAATTACTTTGTAATTAATTATTTCCAAATTGTGAAAATTACAAAGTTTAATGTTTGCCTGTTACTTTTTGGTTTGATGTAGGATTGCAGTTTGATTCCAGCTAACCTTGTGGAGGCATTTGGTTTATTGATTAACTGCAATGAGTCATCTCCCTGCCACCCATTTCTTCCTACTGTGCAACATACTTTGAAGAAAGCCATTAATCCTGAAGGGCTGCTTTATGCGGCTTCTAGACAGTTCACAACTGAAGATTTTGAAAAGGTAAAGATAGATAAAACGGTTACCCAGAATGCCTGTGCTAATGTTTCTCAAATTATATAGAAGTCCTTTTGAGTGCTGGATTTTCTTTATTTAGAATTATTTTATTCCAACTTGGTTCCAGCTTTTAAACATTTTAAGGACATTGCATAGAAGTTACTTAGAGTTAGGCTGGTGTGGTGGCTCATGCCTATAATCCCAGCATTTTGAGAGGCCAAGGTGGGCGGATCACTTGAGGCCAGGAGTTCGAGACCAGCCTGGCCAACACAGTGAAAACCCTATCTCTACCAAAAAATACAGAAATTAGCTGGGCGTGATGGTGGCTCCTGTAACCCCAGCTACTCGGGAGGCTGAGGTAGAATCTGTTGAACCCAGGAGGTGGAGGTTCCAGTGAGCCGAGATCGCACCACTGCACTCCTGCCTGGGTGATAGAGTAAGACCCTGTCTCAAAAAAAAAAAAAAAGAAAAAGGAAAAGAAAAAATAGAGAAATTATTTAGAATTATTTAGGGCTATAAGTAAAGAAACAACTGTGTTAGGTAATGAATATTAAAATTTTCAGTTTATTTTTGTACCATTGTCCAAATCAGCACAGCTGACAGAATCTCAGTGAAAGAAAACCAACATAGAATTTTTCTATGGAAAATTATAATAGGCTATATAGATATACAGTTATTTACATTTTACTGTCTATTCAAAGGGATTGTCCTCAGATGACTACCTTCGAGTCCTGACTTTAGGGGATATATAGCATGATTCACTAACCCATTTTAATTAATTACCCTGACATTATCAAAACATATGTGACATATTCAGAGAACCTTAAAGTAGGTGATGTAAATTTAGTAATAATTCTCATAGCTATTAAAGGTGCTCACATATTTACAACTGAAACCTTTTTAACTACTCAAAAATCTGTCCAAGTAGAGTTCACTTGTCTGGGTATAATAGATAAAAGGCAGGGGATATCAGAAAGTGGAGGTCTATGAGTCATTAAAAATTTTTTTCGTATCTATCTTCCTTGTAAGCATACTGCATGAGTAAAAGGTTGAAAGGCAAAATCGACTTAAACATGAATTATGAACATTGTTTATTCACATAGATTAGAATAGAAAAAAGAATAATATTTATAATATAATAAGGTTTTGGTTTTGGTTTTATTATATAGGAAAAAAGTAGTCTGTATGAATTAGGGTAAATGACCCTGAAAAATGTTGCCCATTTTTTTACCTGAGAAACAAGCCAAAACAATCTAGATTTATTCAGGTATTAACTGGATACTTCACAAATATGAGCCTATTTCCATTCTTTTATATTCTCACAGATATATAAATTTTCCCTTTAGTTTATCATTTAATTAAAATTAAAAACAAGATACAGGCCAGGCAAGGTGGCTCAAGCCTGTAATCCCAGCACTTTGGGAGGTCGAGGAGGAGGGCAGAAACCTGAGGTAGGGAGTTCGAGACCAGCCTGACCAACATGGAGAAACCCCATCTCTACTAAAAGTACAAAATTAGCCAGGCATGGTGGCACATGCCTGTAATCCCAGCTACTCCGGAGGATAAGACAGGAGAGCAGCTTGAACCTGGAAGGCGGAGGTTGAGGTGAGCCGAGATTGCGCCACTGCTCTGCACTTCAGCCTGGGCGACAAGAGCAAAACTCTGTCTCAAAAAAAAAAAAAAAAAGATACATAAAATAGTTAAGGAACAACTTAAGTGCTAAGTTAAGTGGTGCTGACTCTGAGGTATTTTAGGAATTCAGAAAGGAAGATATCAGTATAGAATGCAGAAGCTGGGAAAACTTCATGGAGGAGGCTGGACATCAGCTGGCTATAAGAAAGGGTAAAATTTAGATGCACAAAGGATGGGTGTTCTAAGTAGAATTAACAGTAGGAGTAAAGACATAAAAGTAGAAATTAGTATACATGGAAAACGATAAGACCAGCTTGACTGGAGCAAAAATTGTATTTTGGAGTCATAGGATTTTGGCATATTTACAGTAAGTCTTGCACAGGCAAAAGATTTTATAGTTGGTTTGTCAGACTATAGAGAACAGTTGTAGAGTGAACTGTAAAATAGTAAAAAAGTAAAATAGTAAAAATGATTTCTCTGGAAGATAAATCTGTTACACAAATCAAAGTGGATGGAATTTGTTGCAGCCTGAGCTCTCCAGAACAGACTGAGATGGAGTTTAGTGTGCCAATGTGTATTTGAGAGGGCTTTTCTGTCAATACCTGAGGACTTTATAAAGTCCTCCCCAACTTCTGCCTCAATCATTCATGTGATGTGGACTGTCCTGAGGCAATCCCCGAAGGGGCTGACAGAATCTCAGTAGCTGGGCAACAAGTCCTTTCATGAAGGAGGATATTGGTGGCTCATCATCATGCCATCTTAGAGAGAACTTAGAGAGGGTTATTGATACTATTAATAGTATATCCAGTTCTGAAAGCCTGGAGAGAGTTGTGGAGAATAAAGAAAATAAAGAAGCCAGGATATATATCCAATCCAGGACATGTCCAGTCTAGGAACGTGTCTCTATGCTTTGCTTTTCTTTTTTCTTTTCTCGCTCTGTCACCAGGCTGGAGTGCAGTGGCGCAATCTTGGCTCACTGCAAGTCCACCTGCTGGGTTCAAGTGATTCTCCTGCTTCAGCCTCATGAGTAGCTGGGACTACAGGCGCCTGCCACCACACCTGGCTAATTTTTTTGTATTTTTAGTAGAGACGGGGTTTCACCATGTTGGCCAGGATTGTCTCGATCTCCTGACCTCGTGATCCATCCACCTCGGCCTCCCAAAGTGCTGGAATTACAGGTGCGAGCCACCACGCCCAGCCATCTCTATGCTTTTCTAAAAGTTAAATTTAAAATATAAATTTTAGGCCGGGCACGATGGCTCACGCCTGTAATCCCAGCAATCTGGGAGGCCGAGGCGGGCAGATCACCTGAGCTCAGGAGTTCGAGACCAGCCTGGCCAATATGGTGAAACTCTGTCTCTACTAAAAATACAAAAAAAAAAAAAAAAAAAAAAAAAAAAAAAATTAGCTGGGCATGGTGGCGCACACCTGTAGTCTCAGCTACTCAAGAAGCTGAGGCAGGAGAATCACTTGAACCAGGAGGCAGAGGTTGTAGTAAGCTAAGATCATGCCACTGCACTCCAGCCTTGGCGATAGAACAAGCCTCCATCTCAAAAATAAATAAACAAAATAGGCCAGACGCTGTAATCCCAGCACTTTGGGAGACCCAGGTAGGTAGATCACCTGAGGTCAGGAGTTTGAGACCAGCCTGGTGAACATGGTGAAACCCCATCTCTACTAAAAATACAAAAAATTAGCTGGGTGTGGTGGTGCGTGCCTATAATCCCAGCTACTTGGGAGGCTTGAGACAGGAGAATCGCTTGAACCCAGGAGGCTGAGGTTGCAGTGTGCCGAGATCATGCCATTGCACTCCAGTTTGGGCAACAAGAGTGAAACTCCATCTCAAAATAAATAAATAAATAAAATAATAAAATATAAATTTTATAGTTAATAGCAACCTTTCTCCAGGTGTAGATAGTGTCAGAAAAAAACAGCAACCTTATTATAGTTAATTTTTCCTGTAGTTATCTGAATTGAAAAAGTAGAAAATAACTAGGATAGTAAAAAATCTGGAAATTATGTCACAGAGAAGGACTTTGGGAACTAGGAATCACTGACTCTGAAAGAAAAAAAAGCTCAAAACTCACAAAAAACAGTGATAATCATTGTGTTGCAGAATTATTCTCTACCCAAATCTTATTCAATCACCAAAGCCCACCTTCAAAGCAGTTAACATAATGTTTCCCCTCATACCAAATGTTAAGTGCTCTTTAAAAGGAAGGAAGGGAAGTAAGGAGGGCAAGTAGCTCTAGGCCAATGAGAGAAAGTTATGAGGAAAAAAGTATCAGGTGATTAAAGCTATTCAAAGGAAAATTAGCTTCTGAGGGAGGTGAGCCTTTCACTGGGAGCAAAGACATTGTACAGTCATTCAAATATATTGCACAGAACATTTTTGCACTGAGAGGGAGGAGATTATTCTGGGTAAACTTTAATATTCTTTACAAGTATAACACTGTGATATTTAAAGTGTTCAGTGACTTCAGGATAGCCCCAGACATTTACTCTTTTTTATGTAATAAAATATGCAAACATGTAAAAATAAAGTGCCAGTATACTTTTGATTTCTGTTATATTGATTCCATAATAAAGCTTGATTATCTTGGATTTTTCACACTTTTTAGCTACTGGCTTTTGCAAAGAATTTGAATGTAGAATTCAGCTTGGAAGCAGAAAGAATGACTCATGGCTATTATCTAGCAAGTCGCAGAATCAGAACAGACTCTATATATGGATCAAAACTGTCGGCATCTGCATTAAAATATCTGTAGGTATTCAATTCAAGATTTTAGAATCAGCATTGAGTTACAAATGATGTGTTTAATTAAATTGCTAATTTACCTATTTCAATTGTTTCTCTGCTTGACTGCTAGTTGGTTGGTTTGTAAATGGCCTTGTTCCAAAAGGACTAAAGGCTTCACAATTCCTTCTGTTATATCATGTTACATCATTTTAATCTCTAATAATTTTTTTACTAAACTAATTTTTATTGGATGCCACATATGAGATATGTCTGAGGAAAGTGCACTGATTTCAAATGCAAATCCTTGTTTTTAAAAATGTGACTGTTGGCTGGGCATGGTGGCTTACACCTATAATCCCAGCACTTTGGGAGGCCGAGAGGGCAGATTGCCTGAGGTCAGGAGTTCAAGACCAGCCTGGGCAACACAGTAAAACCCCGTCTCTACTAAAATACAGAAAATTAGCCAGGCGTGGTGGAGCGCGCATGTAGTCCCAGCTACTCGGGAGGCTAAGACAGGAGAATTGCTTGAACCTGGGAGGCAGAGGTTGCAGTGAGCTGAGATCACACCACTGCACTCCAGCCTGGGCAACAGAGCGAGACTCCATCTCAAAAAAAAAATAAAAAAAAAAATGGGTGTTGGCCAGGCACAGTGGCTCATGCCTATAATCCCAGCACTTTAGGAGGCTGAGGCAAGCAGGTGGCTTAAGCTCAGTTCAAGACCAGCCTTGGGGCTGGGTGCAGCGGGTCACACCTGTAATCCTAGCACTTTGGGAGGCTGAGGTGGGAGGATCATTTGAGCTCAAGAATTCGAGACCAGCCTGGGCAACATAGTGAGACCTCACATCTATTTAAAACAACAACAACAACAACAACAAAACAGAGCAGCCTGGGCAACATGGTGAAATCCTATCTCTACCCAAAATACAAAAAACTAGCTAGGCCCGGTGACAGGTGCCTGTAGTCCCAGCTACTCAGGAAGCTGAGGTGGGAGGATTGCTTGAGCCCATGAAGCGGAAGTTGCAGAGTGCCTAGATGTGCCACTTTACTCCAGCCTGGGTGACAGAGTGAGACCCCTTCTCAATTAAAAAAAAAAAAAACAAAAAAAGACAAAACCTTGCCTAGTGGCTCACGCCTGTAATCCCAGCACTTTGGGAGGCCAAGGCAGGCGGATCACCTGAGGTCAGGATTTTGAGCCCAGCCTGACCAACACGGTGAAACCCCGTCTCTACCAAAAAAATACAAAAAAAATTAGCTTGGGGTTGTGGCGCATGCCTATAGTCCCAGCTACTCGTGAGGCTGAGGCAGGAGAATCACTTGAACCCGGGAGGCCGAGGTTGCTGTGGGCCAAGATTGCATCACTGCACTCCAGCCTGGCGACAGAACAACACACAGTCTCAAAAAATATATAATTCTTTTCATATGTAAACGGAGACTATGTGAGTTCAAATACAAAACATATTTTTACTATAGAGAAAAGAACATTATGAGAAAATAGAACTTTTAAAGCCGGGCGCAGTGGTGCACGCCTATTATCCCAGTACTTTGGGAGGCCAAAGGGGGTGGATCACCTGAGGTCAGGAGTTCACGACCAGCCTGACTAACATGATGAAACCCCATCTCTACTAAATACAAAATAATGAGCCAGGTGTGGTGGCACATGCCTGTAATCCGAGCTACTTGGGAGGCTGAGACAGGAGAATCGCTTGTACCTGGGAGACAGAGGTTGCAGTGAGACATGGTTGCGCCATTGCACCTGGGCAAAGAGAGTGACACTCTGTCTCAAAAAAAAAAAGAAAAGCAAACAGTATAATTTGATCTGAGTATTTTAAATTTTAATTCAGGAAATAGAGAGCATTATGTAATGCAATTCTGTTTTCCATTTTGAAACATTTATCAAAGAGTTGACTTCTAATTGGCTTATCTTTAGCATTTTTTCAGCTCTATGAAGATAAATATACAGTTGGGGAAATTAACTAAATATATCTAAATCTTACAGATTTATACTTGACATTTTCTGCCAGTTCTTCATCTGTCTTATTTTATGTTGGAGTTTTAACAATATATTTATTTATTTATTTAATGAATTATTTTACTCCTAGTTCTACTTCACAATTATTTTGAGATTACACTTTAATACTATATCAAATAAAGAAATGGTCTCTCAATAGGGGACTGTTTAAACTATGGTACAGCTACATCACAACACAGTGAAGCTGTGATGCAGCTATTTATTCAAAAATAAAGTAGTTAATTTTAACGTAATTCTACTTTTTCACATTGTAGAAATAAATACTAAGGGTGGTTTGTGAAACAGCAGAGTAAATGAACCCCTAGCTAGAAGAGTCATAAACCTTGAATTTTTCTCCCATTTCTATAGACAGGTACCTAATTACAAGCATCTTTGCTTTTCTAGAGAAGTGGAGCTGAACAATACTTTCTAAAGGCTCTATACATATTCTGTCCCGGTCAACATTTTTAGAAGGATCTTGGATGAGGACATCAGAGACATGATAATTACATTTATAAATGAGCAATATTGGAGAGAACTTCACAAACTTGAATTGTGATCTTAATCTAACAAGAAGAAAGTTAATAGGATAAATGTAAAGCCCTCTGTTAGATGCCCAGACTCTGTAGTATAAGTGTGAATTGATGAGAAAATGGTAATATGGCTTAATATGAAAAGGATTTGATATTTCATTATTTTTATGTTTAATAAGAGTAAATAATGTAATATGGCTATTAATAATACTGAGAGTTGGGGTCATATTAACAGAATATATATCAAGAGCAACAAAATGCTAGTTATGCCTCATCTATACTGTGATGGTCAAAACCGCTGTTGTACTGTACTGAAAAGGAGTATTAACCAAATCAGGTCATGAGGAGAGTAGCCATCATGGTGAGGAGCTGAAAGTTATGTCTCATAGCATAGTAAAGGAACTAGAAATATTTAACTTGAAGGAGAGAAAACACGGAGCAATCGAAAAGTTATCTTTGCATATCTGAAGAGCATCATATTAAGAGGTCTCAGCAGACAGAACAAGAGACCTGTGGGTAGAAATTGCAGTGAAACTAATTTTAGCTTAGATTGATAGAATCTTGGTTATAGTTAGTTATGGTTATAGTTAGTTGCAAAACTTTCAAATGCCTTTACTTATCTCCCTTTTATAGCTGAGTTTCAAAAAATCTCATACATTAAATGATTTATACAAAGTCATACAGCTAGTAAATTCTAGAGACTCAGCCAGGTTTTCTGATTCCCAAGTTCAGCAATCATTCAGATACATCACATTTGCTTAAAAGAGATCTTTCAGTAATGGAAGTTGGTTAAAAATTTAAAAATAAAGGAACGGATTGCCTCATGAAGCCATGAATGCTAGGAGAGGTCCAAAAGATACTGGTAAACGAATAGCCCAGGATGTTGTAGAGGAAATTTAGTTTTCTGATGAAAGTTTGAACTTTGAATTCCAAGATCCCTTCCAATGCTGAAATTGCCAACAAAAATCTTGGAAATCTATGAGGATTTTAGATAAATGAAGGACTAAAAGAAAAAGTCAAGGATTTGTCTGTAAAAGATATTTAGTTAGATTAATTTTCTCAACTGTGTATTTATCTGAACAAAACTTCGGGAGGGGAGTGTGGAATGATAAATAAAAGCTAGGATGGAAACCAATAGGATACTGGCTTGTTCTGGAACAGTCTATTTAAGTTGATAGGAAAAAAAAAATTAAAGAAAAGAAACTAAAAAAGAAACTAAAATTTTTTTTAAAGTAAGAATATGCTTTAGGTGTGGCTAAGGTTCACATATGTCTTGGTTTGTTCCTGCCAAAATATATATTATTTTTATAATATCAACATATTTTGATTGGCAACTATTTTCTTTTTTAGCGTTTTCCTATCTGAAGCCCATGCACGACTGAACTTAAGGAATAAAGTGCTTAAAGAAGATGTGCTGATTGCAGCCTTACTATTTGAAACATCCCTCACATTGAAATATGGTAATGGATTCAATTATTGATGATTACTACAAATAACTATATTTAACCTTAAATATTCTTAATTGGTTAAATTAAAATGTTACATATATTTTTAAAATATTATTTTAAAGAATAACAAATCACTACCAGGTAAGGCCTGTTTTAATTTGGGCATTTATTAACTGTTTCTGGGTAGGTAGTATCATCATCTAATATTAAATTCCTTATTATGCATGATTGTTTTCATATTTGAACTTTTGCATTGCTTAAAGAATTCTGGGGGAAAAAGTACTTAATACAACACATAAAATGATTTTAATTTATCTTCCTTTTAAAATAACTTGCAACATTTAGATTTCAAACAATCCCCCACAGCAGAGTTAGGCAAGATAGCAAAAGAAAATCTGATCATCAGCTGGGTGCAGTGGCTCACACCTGTAATCCCAGCACCTTGGGAGGCCGAGACAGGTGGATCACAAGGTCAGGAGATGGAGACCAGCCTGCCTAATATGGTGAAAACCCATCTCTACTAATAAAGCACAAAAATTAGCTGGGTGTGGTGGCAGGTGCCTGTAGTCCCAGCTACTTGGGAGGCTGAGGCAGGAGAATCGTTTGAACCTGGGAGGTGGAGGTTGCAGTGAGCTGAGATTGTGCCACTGCACTCCAGTCTGGGCGACAGAGCAAGACTCCATCTCAAAAAAAAAAAAGAAAAAAGAAAAGAAAATCTGATTATCTTGTATCAATACCTTCACCGAATTTCTAGTTTTAATACTACGTCTATAGCATTTAATTTTTTTAAATGAATGGCGCTTATTATGCTTTTGCTAATAAACACGCAAAAGAGGTTTTTAAGGTAAGGGTAAGGAGAGTTATTCTCCCAAGTTCTTGGTTGAATTAGATGAGACATTAATTTTGATTAGCGATACCATTCTTCAAACCAAACCTTGGTTCCAGCCCTGGGACTTAAAGAATGTATTAACACTAGCTTTTCTGTGTGTACATGTTGGTGATTACATTTGCTTTAAATTACATTTATATTGTAATACCCGTTTGCAGAGATTCATTCGAATATTAGAACTTTGTTCTATAATTATCTAAAGTTCTATAAATTGTTCTATAATTGTCTTTGTTCTATAAATATCAAGCATTCTTAACCTAGGATCCATAGATGCTTGGTATAGGGACTTGTAAATCCCTAAATCATATACAAATGTACATATGTGTGTGCCTTATACATTGTTTCCTAGGAACATACAGCATTAATTTTTATGAAATAGAGATTTATGGCCCCTAAAAGAGGTTAATTATCATCCTGAATTAGTTTTATTTACCAAAAGAGAGTAACACTGTTTCCCAACCAATACTAAATAGTATTTAGGAAGGATATATACATGTTTTTCATTTCAATTTGCTTTATCTTTTTTAACTAGCATTTCTTTTTAAAATTATTATTATTATTTATTATTATTATTTTTTGAGATGGAGTTTCACTCTTGTTGCCCAGGCTGGAGTGCAATCGCATGATCTCGGCTCACCACAACCTCTGCCTCCCGGGTTCAAGCAAGTCTCCTGCCTCAGCCTCTCGAGTAGCTAGGATTACAGGCATGCGCCACCACACCCAGCTAATTTTGTATTTTTAATAGAGACGGGGTTTCTCCATGTTGGCCAGGCTGGTCTCGAATTCCTGATCTCAGGTGATCTGCCTGCCTTGGCCTCCCAAAGTGCTGAGATTACAGGCATGAACCACCGCGCCCCACCTATTTTTTTTCTCTTTAAGTTCTGGGTTACATGTGCAGAACATGCAGGTTTGTTACATAGGTACACATGTGTCATGGTGGTTTGCTGCACCTATCAACCCGTCATTTAGGTTTTAAGCCCCACATGGTATTTATCCTAATGCTTTCCTTCCCCTTTCCCCCCAGACCTCCAACAGGCCTCAGTGTTGTGATGTTCCCCTCCCTGTGTCCATGTGTTGTCATTGTTCAACTCCCACTTATGAATGAGAACATGTCGTGTTTGGTTTTATGTTCCTGTGTTAGTTGGCTGAGAATGATGGTTTCCAGCTTCATCCATGTCCCTGCAAAGGACATGCACTCATTTTTTATGGCTACATAGTATTCCATGGTGTATATGTGCCACATTTTCTTAATCCAGTCTATCATTGATGGGCATTTGGGTTGTTTCCAAGTCTTTGCTATTGTAAATATTTAGTGCTGCAATAAACATACGTGTGCATGTGTCTTTATAGTAGAATGATTTAAAATCTTTTGGGTATATACCCAGTAATGGGATTGCTGGGCCAAATGGTATTTCTGGTTCTAGATCCTTGAGGAATTGCCACACTTTCACAATGGTTGAACTAATTTACACTCCCACCAACAGTGTAAAAGCATTCCTATTTCTCCACAGCCTCACCAGCATCTGTTGTTCCCTGGATTTTTAATGATCACCATTCTAACTTTTGTGAGATGGTATCTCATTGTGGTTTTGATTTGCATTTCTCTAATGACTAGTGATGATGAGCTTTTTTCATGTTTGTTGGCTGCATAAATGTCTTCTTTTGAGAAGGGTCTGTTCATATCTTTTGCCCACTTCTTGATGGGTTTTTTTTTTCTTGTAAATTTGTTTAAGTTCCTTGTAGATTCTGGATATTAGACCTTTGTCAGATGGATAGATTGCAAAAATTTTCTCCCATTCTGTAGGTTGCCTGTTCACTCTGATGATAGTTTCTTTTGCTGTGCAGAAGCTCTTTAGCTTAATTAGATCCCATTTGTCAATTTTGGTTTTTGTTGCAATTGCTTTTGGTGTTTTAGTCATGAAGTCTTTGCCCATGCCTATGTCCTAAATGGTATTGCCTAGGTTTTCTTCTAGGGTTTTTATGGTTTTAGGTTTTACATTTAAGCCTTTAATCCATTTTGAGTTAATTTTTGTATAAGATGTAAGGAAGTTGTTTTAGACATGAAGTCCTTGCCCATGCCTATGTCCTGAATGGTATTGCCTAGGTTTTCTTCTAGGGTTTTTATGGTTTTAGGTCTAACATTTAAGTCTCTAATCCACCCTGAATTAATTTTTGTATGAGGTGTAAGGAAGGGATCCAGTTTCAGCTTTCTACATATGGCTAGCCAGTTTTCCCAGCACCATTTATTAAATAAGGAATCCTTTCCCCATCTCTTGTTTTTGTCAGGTTTGTCAAAGATCAGATGATGGCTGGGTGCAGTGCCTCATACCTGTAATCCCAGCACTTTGGGAGGCTGAGGTGGGTGGATCACGAAGTCAGGAGATCGAGACCATCCTGGTTAATATGGTGAAACCCTGTCTCTACTAAAAATACAAAAAATTAGCTGGCCGTGGTGGCAGGCACCTGTAGTTCCAGCTACCCAGGAGGCTGAGGCAGGAGAATGGCATGAGCCTGGGAGGCGGAGCTTGCAGTGAGCCAAGATCACGCCATTGCACTCCAGCCTGGGTGACAGAGCGAGACTCCATCTCAAAAAAAAAGAAAAGATCAGATGGTTGTAGATGTGTGGTAGTACTTCTGAGGGCTCCATTCTGTTCCATTGGTCTATATCTCTGTTTTGGTACCAGTACCATGCTGTTTTGGTTACTGTAGCCTTGTAGTATAGTTTGAAGTCAGGTTGCATGATGCCTCCAGCTTTGTTCTTTTGACTTACAAAAGCCAAAATTGACGAATGGGATCTAATTAAACTAAAGAGCTTCTGCACAGCAAAAGAAACTACCGTCAAGTGAACAGGCAACCTACAGAATGGGAGAAAGTTTTTACAATCTACTCATCTGACAAAAGGCTAATATCCAGAACCTACAAAGAACTCAAACAAATTTACAAGAAAAAAACAAACAACCCCATTAAAAAGTGAGCAAAGAATAGGAACAGACACATGTTCATATTCTTTTCTTCCCAAAAGAAGACATTTATGCAGCCAACAGACACATGAAAAAATGCTCATCATCACTTGCCATCAGAGAAATGCCAATCAAAACCACAGTGAGATACCATCTCATACCAGTTAGAATGGCAATCATAAAAAAGTCAGTAAACAACAGGTCCTGGAGAGGATGTGGAGAAATAGGAATACTTTTACACTGTTGGTGGGACTGTAAACTAGTTCAACCATTGTGGAAGACAGTGTGGCGATTCCTCAAGGATCTAGAACTAGAAATACCATTTGACCCAGCCATCCCATTACTGGGTATATACCCAGAGGATTATAAATCATGCTGCTATAAAGACACATGCACGCGTATGTTTATTGCGGCACTATTCACAATAGCAAAGACTTGGAACCAACCCAGATGTCCATCAACGACAGACTGGATTAAGCAAATGTGGCATATATATACCATGGAATACTATGCAGCCATAAAAAAGGATTAGTTCATGCCCTTTGTAGGGACATGGATGCAGCTGGAAACCATCATTCTCAGCAAACTATCGCAAGAACAGAAAAGCAAACACTGCATGTTCTCACTTATAGGTGGGAATTGAACAATGAGAACACTTGGACACAGGAAGGGGAACATCACACGCTAGGGCCTGTCGTGGGGTGGGGGGAGCAGGGAGGGATAGCATTAGGAGATATACCTAATGTAAATGATGAGTTAATGTGTGCAGCACACCAACATGGCACATGTATACATATGTAACAAACCTGCACATTGTGCACATGTACCCTAGAACTTAAAATATATAAAAAAAAATTAATACATTGAACTTTAAAAAAAAAAAAAAAAAGATGTAAGGAAGGGATCTTGTTTCTGTTTTCTGCATATGGCTAGCCAGTTTTCCCAGTACCATTTGCTAAATAGGGAATTATTTCCCCATTGCTTGTTTTTTTGTCAGGTTTGTTGAAGATTATCAATTTGCTTTATCTTTACATGCTTTTCCTATTCTATGTTTAAGACCACATTTCATTAAATCTAAGACACATTATTCTATGTGAAGTAAAGAAAAAATTCTGCCAATTTTACCATGCCATGCCATCAATTGTTAAGATACAACTGGAGTA